TAGAAAATCAAAAGGGAAGAACATGATTAATATTTTCTCAAGTTGAATGAGCTAAAATAAAAAAATCAAGCCTCAAGTTGTCATAGTGAAGGACTCAATGGGCAAAATATTGAATGACAAGGTAAATATTAAAAAGATATTTAAAAAATGATAGAATGAACACTGAGCCAGTGTACCAAATAGAATTCATCTATGTTCAACAACCATTTAGGGAGGTAGCACATGATAAGAAGGTAAAGTACTGAAGGAAGAATTTCCAGTTGCACTGAAGCCATTAACACAAAACAAGGCTTCAGCAAATAACAGGATGCCAGCTGAGATGCTTCAACGAAGGGATGCAACACTGGAAGAGCTCACTGTCTGTGCCAAGAAATTTGGGAAAGAGCAATGAAGCTTGGATCCAAAGAAAGCCCCCCTCCTCATAATAACTCACAACCATGGCCATCGAGTGGATTCTGATTTACAAGGACAATCAGACTGTAAGTCTGAAGGGAATAAACAGCTATACCTTTCACAGAGCAGCTAGTGGGTTCGAACTGCCCACCTTGCTGGTAGCAGCCCAACACCTAACTCACAGTACCACCGGGTCCTAATTAGGAAACATGGCTCCTAGGTGATGGTGTTAGAAAACAAGACTGCTTGACAGTTTCTTGTGGAGCAAACCAGTGACAATGGGTCCCAACACGGGGGAAGTTCCAGAGGCCTACCAGCATCCTAAACTGGAGATGACACAAGCCCCCACCCCAGTTCTGCCCATCCACTTGAACCAGCGGTTCTCAATCTGTGGGTCGAACCACTTTTCCACAGGGGTCGCCCGATTCCTAACAGTGGTAAAATGACAGTGATGAAGTAGCAACGAGAATAATTTTATGGTTGGGGGGCCACCACCACATGAGGAACTGTATGAAAGGGTCGCTGCATGAGGAAGGTTGAGAACCACTGAGTGAACGAACTTTAAGGGCGGGGCACACCATGCATCTCTGAGGGTAGGGGGTAAATATTTCATCTTCCCATTCACTAGGTGGTCACGTAGTTGCTTGGTGGGTGCCACGCATTGGTCTAAGCAGTTTACATCCTCCCCGTATTCTCACGGTAACCCTGAGTTTTGTGTAACTAACACCCTCCTGTGCTTCCTTCTGAACAAAGGGCAGCACAGGAGGCGCGGAGAGAAATGACCAGCACCCAGTAAGCTGTGGGATCACAGCCCCAAGTGCTTATTCCCCGCCCTGGTTCTGGGTTCACTGGCTAGGCCAGGGGGTCAGAGCAGACACCGCGTCACTCCCGCGGCCTGCACACGGGGCCGCCGCCTGTCCCTGGAGGGCCCCTGTCCCACCCAGGGCCCCTGTCCCACCGAGGGCTCTGTCCCCTGAGGGCCCCTGTCCCACCGAGGGCCCGTCCCACCGAGGGTCCCTGTCCCGAGGGTCCTGTCCCACTGAGGGCCCCTGTCG